TAACCGAATCCATGTCGGAGCCTAAGAGCAAAGTTACGGTTGATTTAATTAATAGTCCGTAACGAAAAACTGATTAACTGGGAACACTGGAAAAACCGGAATTGCTCGTGTGGTTTTATTAAAAATCTCACCCTTTTCTTTCTCTCTTTCTCTTTCTTCCGCGTTAATGAGAGAGATAAAGGGTTAATTTTGCTTCGCTTCAACCGCAAGCTTTGTAAGTCTCTGTACAAACCCGCGGCGAGAAAGAAAGAGAGAGAGAAACAAAGAGAAAGAGTGTATGTGTGTGTGTCTGCACATTGCCGGGGGTTTCGCCTTAATTAACTGCCCTAAATTCGCGCGTGCGCGCTCGCGTGAAGAAGGGAAGAAAGAATCTGCCAAAGGAGCATTTCTCAGATTAGAGGCTTGCCTTTGTCTCGCCGTGCTTTTCAATGAGACTAATTAATTTTTCGTCCACCCGTCGCGGCTCGGGTCGACCAATTAACGGCCGTTGGCCGATTCCACAAGATCGATTTTTCGCATGATATCTTTGTGCGACTGTCGGAGGCATTTCCGTTCGTGTATAGATAATCGAGAAAGAAATGAATTTCTGAACTAAAATCCTCTCTGGTATTATATCATTGATCTAATTTTTAATATATTTCATCTGGAGAAACCATATTTCACTTTTCGCGTATTATTAAAACAAATAATGTTAATAACTCATTTGTTATATGTAACTATATTCGATTGTAGTATTAATATTTATATAAAGAACAAATTTACCTCTCTTTATCTGTCGCACATTCAAACGACGTGAGTCGATTTGACATTAATCGTTCATACGGAATTCTCTATCAAAAAGCAGACATAAGTATTTTGCGATTGCGAATGGATAATAAAGAAAAAAAATTAAATTTTCACAACACTTAACTTTCTCGCAAAAAAAATTAATATAAAATTTTTAATAATATGATTTTATTATTAGAGTTTTTATATTTAAGAAATATCATTTTTACGAACTCTTCAGAGAGCTGACAGAAACCTTTTGCAATCGCAAATAGCTAATTGAGAAAAAAATATCCATAACTTATCGCGAAGAGATACTGACGTAAAATTATCAGTAATATATTTTATCGGAGTTTCCACTCAAAACATTAATACAACTCATCTATCTTTTGGGAACTATTATTAAATTAGATGACATTATTAGTCTGATATCTTTTATCTCTGAAATTACATAAAACGGTTGATATCTTCAACTGATAAGAACAGCTTTTCAGTTGGTTTTGCGGCTTTCACCTGCCTGCGGACGAAATCTTAGAAGAACAGACCGTTTCCGGCCGCGGATGCAGAAATGTAACCGGCTACGTCGCCGCCGTGAATATTTCCATGCAAATGTTTCGTGATCGATATCCACCACCGACGCCGATCGCGGCATCTTCCTTCCCCTCTCCCTCTCGTCCCCATCGTGTTTCGCGCGCGTTCTCGTCACTTTTCCCCGTGGGTTCTCCGGGGTGTTTACCCCCCGAGGAACAACGGGGATGCTTCGCAGCGCGCCGTGCAAGATGCAAATTTCCGAATCAACAATTTAAAGCCGTCTAGCCGTTTAATTACGGGTTTCGCAATTTCTACGCTCGCTAGCTGGAAGTTAGCTGATTTATTTCTTTGCCGAGATAAGTCTTACGATGCGCTTACAGTTGCGCGTTTCGAATTGTGCTCGGACAATAACGACGCGTCTTGTAAAGATCCCAGCATTCTTCGATTTTCGCAATTATACGAACTATATAAAATATTTATACGTAAATGTACGGAGAGAATATTAGTTTTTCTTTTCATTTAAATTCTCTTCAATTTTACTATGTTTTTAGTAGTCCACACACAGAAAAATGAAACTTATTTTGACAATATTGACAATAATTTATATTATTTAACGTTTATTTCTGTTTATTATATTTTTTTATAATTTTATGGAAGAAAAATATCTTATGTAAAAGCTAAAGGTTCAATAGAGGTTCGCAACTAAATCTATCTTGCTACCTAAAATCCTATTATAGCACAACTTATTTTGACACTAAAGAAAGCGAAAACGAAAATTTCTGATATAATTAGAATTTGTGTAGAAAGTAGGAGTAAATTATATCATTAGAATTAAATCTATTTTGCTATCTTAGTTCCTGCTATGTTGTAGAATTCAAGGTTTAAAATAGGTCCAAAATTTCGACTCTGGTGTTTTAATGTAGCACATTTGAGTTCCTAAAATATAAGTAGCACATATGAAACGAAATGATAGTTTATTACTGCGAAAAATGTCGATCTATTTTTCGGTTACAGAATTCTATAGTAATTTTTATTGTAAAATTCCCTCCGTGTGAAATTTCTGCGTAAAGTATTATCACAGCCACTTTTCTCGTTTACGAACACTTTGGTCAATTTGGAATAGACTTTCTTGACGAAGTTGCAGCGATTGGGTAATCTTTTTATGCGGCATTAAATATTCTCGCGACAAACTTTGGATTAAAAATTCCATTAAGCAGCGTTACCTCGAAACTCACCCTAATCGGATCTCGTTATTTATACGAAGTTCACTTTGCTGCAACCTTTCTCCGCTGAATCACTTTCATAATATGAAATACACCGGCGCTCTGATAGTTTCATTAAAGAAAGACCGGTCGCGAAGTTGACAGATGAAATGGAATGGTGTGATAGTCGTTGAACATCCGGTGTACGCGGCGCGACGGGACCAAGGTAAACGCGCATTACGCGTCATTGATTTTTCTCGCCGCTATTATTATGCGCCATTGAATCGCCATCCGTTGTACGCAACGCAACGTGTCTTACCACACCCAGTTTTGCGTGGAACTTAATTGTTTCGTGGGTGCAGCGTGTGCTTGGCTAATATTTGCTTGATTGTCGCGCGTAATCGCTCTCGCAGCCTTCGATAGCGTTTCCTGGTGGCGCGCTCTGAAATTAATACCGACAATATACAAAATACTCATTTTTAAGAGAGACGGCATCTTTCTTTTTGTTTAAGGCTTCTGTGTCCTCGCCGCAGTCATCTTGATCAATGACGTCAAAAGCGAGAAAACGTATATGCCCGAAATTCTTGCGGAAAATACATCGAAATAAAAGATTACCCACAAAACGACACTAGTGATCGATCGTGAGCACATTTGTCAAATATTTCGAAAACTCTTCTCTCTTTCAAATTCATTCTTAACAATTAGTAAATTAACGCAACAAAATCAGAAAAAACAGGTCGAAGAAAAAGGTTGCACGTTACGTTAATTTTACGATTATTTATCGACTGTTATAGGACTGTAAAAAGAAAGTCTTAGAAATATTTTACAAATGTGTTCAATCAAACTCAAGAGCCACTTTACAGACATATCTTTTAAATTCCGCATATTTTGTAAGAATTTCAAGCACACGTTTTCTCGCTTCTGACGTTATCAGTCGATAGTTTCGCAGCGAGGAGCCAAGAGTCTTAATGTCGTTGTTGTCGTCGACACTGAAATTTTGTATTTACGCTAGACATTTCTATTTTTGGCGTTGTTTACTGCGATAAACGACCGCTGTAATTCTCAATTACGGAACAACTGCGAAATACCGCTGGCGCAATATCCTTATTAAAAAGGAAATGCATATAATACTAATAACAATGATATCGCACAAAATGGTCCTCAGATCAGTTGCGCCAGTCCGTGCGCGCGTGACCGCAAGAAATAAATACGGATCGTGGACGCTCGCATTCATCGTTCATCGCGCACTCGCATTACATTACATCGAGATGCGAGTGCAATTCGTCGCGTTATAACGCGCGCATTTAACGAGCCGACAAATGGAGCCCTTGCAAAATGTCCCATCGTCGTGGAGAACAAAAAGCGACCCCCGCCCGACTCCCGCCCGTCTGCCGGCCCTTCATCCCGCGGCTAACATCTGTTACCCTCTGTCGCTAATTGTTATTGCACGTACGACGGTGCGCGTTGCCCGCAGTGACGGCCATTAAACTTCCCCATTACATTATTGCCGCCGGGTCGGTGGGTCTGTCGACCTGTCTGTCTGTCGGTCGGTCGGCGATTTGAGGAGGCTCTTCTCCGTCAACGAGAGAAGAACTTTTAACAGCGGCCACTCACGAGCTCGTGCATGCGTGCGTGCGTTCGTTATTCGCTCTCTGGGCGACAATTTCCTCGCCGCTGAAAGCATGATTTATGCTTCGGCGGATTAAAAACAAAACGGTCGGCGCGCGGTTACGCAAACCACCCCCATGTGACATCCGACACTGTGTCGTTGCTGGGCGTCGCGCACATCGAATCCAACAGAAATAGGTGACTGACTGCAAGCAGATGCTTTCTCCCGCGTACCGCGTGTATACACAAACGCGCGCGAGTTTCACCAAACGTGTCTATTTTCGGTAGCGTCTTTCTCGCTCCTCTCAGCCGATTATTATTTCCTTGCGCGCGCATATTTGTAACCCTCTTGCACCTGTATGGATGGCCTGGTCCAAATAGAATAATCGCTGTGTGAAATTAGCACGAGTGCAGGTCGCTGCGCTGTGAGATCGAAACCGCCGTTACTCCTCAGTGAGTCCGGTTTTCAATACTGCAAATGTGGGGAAACATATCTCACAGGTCGCTCGTCACGTCACTTTCGATCCCTAATGGGAAATAAATGAATATATTCTTTATTCGCTAAATATATACTAATAACATCACGAACAGAGAATCAAAAATAAAATAATTAAAAGTGGTTAAGGAATGTGGGATACTGAGGGTAATTGATAATAATAATTTGGGACAAAGGGTCGGTCTGAGGTGGAAAATTGATTCAATGCGCACGTTGCAAGCCTAGAAAAATATTTGACAGACGTTTATTATCTTCCCGTACTTGTACAATATCAGCACCAGCATTATACGATGCCAACTCTCATTTGTCATCTTTCTCTATCAATTAGTCGAATATATTCTTCTTAACGAGATCAATTTTTTGGCAGATTTTATTTGGTTCTTTTTTGTGCGTTGCAGGAGGACCTACCGACGGATCAGGCATGGAACCCATCACAACGATTGTGCGGTACAGTTAAGGTAAAGGAACTTTATATACACGCAGTATACACATTCTGTGATTAATGTGTCCAATTAATTCACGCTGTGCAATTATTTAGTCGAGTCATAAGTAACTTCCGATGGAGATAGGCAATTATTTATTTTTTCTCGAACATTTACGCGCGGAAAGAGAGAGAGAGAGAGAGAGAGAGTCGATAAGCTGCGCATTAGCTGGGAAGGCAAGTAATTATTACTAATTACGAATGTACAGCGTGTCTGACATTAAGCGACTCATACTTCGCGTGTACATGTAGGTTAAATTAAACTGAACAAAAAAGTCCTCTATCATTTTGCAAACAGCCACGTAGATTTTTCAGTTATTAATTAAAGAAGATTGGCGAGTGATCGCAATAATGCGTTAATATTCTTTAATTAATCATTAAAAATCTACGTGGTTATTTGTAAAGTAGTAGAAAGTTTTCTTATTCAGTTTGACCTAATCTACACGCACACGATGGTAAATGTTGCCATAATTAATAACTCGAAATTTTACACGAATTTTAATTATTATTATGGTTGTTTGCAAAATGGCATAGAAATTTTGTGCTGAGTTTATCCTAATCTACATGTTCACGAGATATGGAACGCTTCGTCTCAGACACTATGTATATTAGATTAAACTCGATTGCGAAATGTTACACGGGCGAAAATAATTTCGCAAAGAAAGAAAGAAACGGACGTTTACCTACGACTCGACGCAGTAATTCGATTGCGCGTTTTCTTCGCCGCGGCCGCGATGGCAATTCCGCGAGAGAATAATTATTATTACGACGAGAGTTTCCTTGCGCTTCGCGACGATTGTAAATGCGCTCCGTGCTCGGACGTCAACGACGATTCGTGCAAACGCAGCTACGATGGCACCTGTGAGCGGCACCCACGTTCGCTGATTACGATTCTCGTATACGCGTTAATTGCGGGTCATTAGGTCAAACTAACGGCCGGCTCGCACGTTTTACGCGTGACGCGTCGACGAACGATTGCTCAACCTGCTCCACATATAGTACGCGAGCGATGATGCTGCGAGTGCGAGTTATTAATAGCTAGTGGACTTCTTTTTTTCGCGAAGTTGGGGAAACGCATTTGAAAATCACGCTACGGTATAAAATTACCGATAAAACACCGAGCACATGAACATGGGAAAGAAAATTTTTTACTTTTTCTTTCATTAACCTCTTAAGTGGTATGCCCCGGGGAAGTTCCGTAATAAAATATTAAATTTCTTTTGATTTACTTTAACTTATTATATTTTTTTAACTCATAGCCAATACACAAATTAGATATATTTGCATTCAGTTTTTCAAAAATTCTCTTCCACGGAAATAGCAATAAGGAGCAAAGAGATCTAAATGTATTTATTTAAAGAAAAAGAAAACCCGCTCTGGTGAGGATCGCGCAGTAATTTTAAGTCACCACTGAAGAGAGATTCACGTAATTTTTCCGCGAGACTGATCTACAAGACAGAGTTTACGTAGATTTCGAAAGCATGAGATCGCAATCCGGAACGCAAATGACAGTCATTAGTCTACGCGGCGAAGATAAATATCTTGGAGAAATGTACGCATTGTCAAGTTTAGGGTCATGCTCCTTCCAATCGGTTTCTCCCGATTGGACGCCAAGTGTCGCGTGATAAAGGCTATCCGAGAACGAGAGCGGTTTAATCGCGGTCGCGAATAAAAGCAAAGGCGTAAAGCTCGCGAGAAGTTCGCGATCATTGACAATTATTATTGAGGAAACAATATCTCATTAGAGATAAGACAATTGACGCGGTGCTGTCCGCGATTTGCGAGGAAGCAGTATTCTGGCATCGGGTAATTGCTTTTTTCTCTCTCCCTCGCGCGCGCTCTCTCTCCTTTACCGGCGCTTTCGACATATCGTGGGAAAAATATATCGATCGCGGCTGGCGCGGCTGCAATCGTACGGGCGTGCAATACTGAGCGGTAACACGACCGCGGCTTCTCGGGGAACGTCTCTCGCTGGCAGCTCGAAGAAATTTATTACATTCTCCATTTTCTCTTAAAGCAACGTAAAAAGCGCAACCTCGAAATAGAATGGTATCGAAAATAGACTGCTCCCGTGCAACGGTATTTTCGTAAATCCCTTTCGTTTTCCCCGAATAATTTACCCGACACGTAAAATACATATTTTTTATAATCGGCTGTAGTTATGCAAAAATTACTCAACTCTACATGAAGTACGTTTCGAGAAAAATGAAAATAAAAATTTGGTTTAAAAAGCATAGGTAGCCCTGAGGTTCTTCGCAATCGTTCAAGAAGTCAAGCGTAGTCAATCTTCTTCTCTTTAACGACGTTCATTGACAAGCTTAATCGTTAAAGAAATGGATAAAAAAAACGCAAGTTGATAAAAAATGACGCTAGTAGAAAATTAAAAATTATTCTTTAGTTAATTTTAGGCGTTCGTAAAATTTGAATTTTTTCGTGTTATCACTAGAAAGACGTATGGACCACTCATTTGTAATAAAAACACCAAATTTACATTTTTGTGAGTTAAATTATTCTTGTATAATTATGGTCAATTATCTTTTATTTTTCTTCTCTGTTTGCTGTAACTGAAGGACTGTTTGCTGTAACTTTATTGCCATACAGAAGATTTGGTCGTATTAACGTGAAATTTGATTTTAATGAACAAATCGTTTGGTTGAAGGACACAGAATTTCTGTGCACAGTTCTTATAACATAAATTCGCTTCTAAGAACCAGAAATTCCGTTTCCTTCCAAACTAAAACACGTTGGTTCGTTTGCGAACTTCATTAATATAACAAAACTTTATTCTCCGTGTGTAATTATTGTAACGCGTTTGCAGTACAAATGAGCGACACTTTGTGCGAGAGTAAAGCGGATTTGTGCAAGCTGATATAATAATTAAATTGTTAAGAGTCGAGTTTTCAAATTCGGACAACGAATTTGGACCGAATTTCGCGGCGGAAGTCAACTTCACTTGCGCCTCTCGCCGTCTGCACGATAAAAGTTATATATTAACTCCTTCTCTTTCTACGAGATATCCCCCTCGTATGTTACGTCGCAACCCTCAGGTGAGAGACTTAATGCAGTTAGTTGTACGCGGGAAAGAGAAAAGTTTCGAGCAATATTCGCGCGTTTTTCCCGGGGATGAAACTTCTACCTCGTGCGTAATAATTTTTCTCGCGAAAATGCGAGAGCGCGACGGCGCGGCTCTCTCGTATATCGCGACAATGGCAGTCGCGCGTCCTTGATTTTCGAGATTATTAACTCGCTGGCGAAGTCGCTGCGAAAAATATCGCTATGCCCGTTAAATAGCTGAAAAAAAGTAAAAGATCCGCACCTTTCTATTTCGATTTCACTGCGCGCCTGTTACAACATATCACGCGTGCCGGCTTTCTATTGTTCTCGAATAAAACATTCTTGCTTGTGCAATGGCATTTTCGTGAAATCTCAAGAATAACTCATCCGGAAAAATAGAAAAAATTGGTATTTTTCGTAATAATCTTTCTTTTCCCTCTTCTGTCGCGCAATAGAAGGCATCGGTGCATCTCATTGTCGCAATTATTATAACGCATTTGTGATGCGAATGAACGGCATTTCATTCAAAAGCAAACTAGAATTGTATACGCTGACCGCACGCAAGTGCATCTTTCAATCGTTCTACAACGGTAAATACTCTTGAACGTATGTTCAGCCACAAAACGGTATGTACACATTTTTTATCATATAAAGTTGCCTCAAGTTGTCGCAATTAAAAGCCACTACTGACGTGAATTTAGCACACTCTGTCACTTTATCTGACATTATAAGATATATAGAAATTATTTCAAATGTTCTTCTATACACGAAAAAAAGAATCTAATTGGATTAACCAAATATCTGGTGAAATATGGATAACCCAGAAATTCCGCTGAAGTTACCAGAATTTTGTTTAAAATCTCTTTGGTTAACCAGAATCTTGTTAATTCGAACAGGATTCCGATCATTTCAGAATTTTGGTTCATTCATATTTCACCAGATGTTTGATTAATCTACCCAAATTTTTGTTTTTTTATGTACTTTAGGATTATTTCTCTTTTCCAAATTTATTGTGTGTTATACTCTTTATTGTTACTTGTACTTCGATCATTACCGGTTACCGCGTGTATACATCAGCGTGTTTCTTAATTGTGACAAGCTGAAGCATTGCAACTTCGTTCGAAGTGTACAAACTCTTCTGCAACCAAGCATACACGCATTTTCTGAGTTACTTATATTTTGGTAAAGCGTACGTCGTCAGAAAACGCGAGCTGTTGTTGCCAAGCGAGCGTTTGCAATAATTCGCGGAGGGAGCTTCATACATAATTCCCTGTGCATTCGAGTTGACAAAACGCGTCCGTCATGTTTGCCGGTCAGAATTGCCGGCAGATACGATTGCGCAAGTCGTGGAAGCCGGGGGAATGCATTTTTCATCGTATGAATAACGCAACGTGTAATTCATTACGTATCGAAAGTACTTCGTGGACAGGATTTTCGTAAAGATGGCGAGAGAAACATGCCGGGAATGCACCGTCTGGCAGGATTACCCGCGATCAAAATGAATTATTAGTTTCCTCGTGTAATTTCAAAACAAAGAAAGCTTCTGGAGCTCCTCCAAAATTCCGACGCTTCGTCATCGGGCTTTCCGTCGCCTATATTACGCGAACGGTCATAAATACGTCGAATTGAGAAGCACTGTCTCGCACTGAGTTTTAACTCAGCGGACTGCCTATCTCTTGTTAGTTTCGACGATTTGATAAAACTATTCGATGAAAGTGGAGATAGGAAGTTGACGCGCCGGGCGCGCAGACGATATTTCTCTCCCAACACGCTATCTGGTACTCTACGATAACGGAATGCTCATGTGAGATCATTGATGGTGAGAGAAGCGATGCAGCACAACCGTCGCGAGTGCCTGAGCTTTGCCTTCGCGACGTCTGGTTGTTCCCGATGCGGCTCACGTTGCCGCATCGCGGATTCAGT